GCATGCAATCCTTTTATCTGATGGAAAGTTGCTAATTATTGCCCTGGCCCTGTGTATTTTGGTTTTACTAATTTTACAAACCCACATATACTTGCTGCTGTGTTTCATCCAGGAGTCTGAAGTTGCCCTTTTTCTATCAAATGTGTTTACACCACAGAAAAGGTGTGTTTTGTCAGTTTTGTTTGCCCTAGCCAGGTCTGAGCTGTATAACCAGCACTCACTCTGGATAGCCACTGGTCTGGCTGACCTTGGCACCATGACAGCTGTCATATTTTCACATGGAGGAACTGTTCTTGAACAACTTCTCCAATGTATCAGGAACAAACAAGCTTTTCTTCAGCATCAGGAATGCAGCAGGTCTTCTTTCCAACTACTTTTTCTCCTTCCACAGACGTATTTATTGTGGCAATGGCAAGAAAATCCTACTGCTAAGCCTTCGTGTTTAAATCCTTTAAATTTCCTTCTGGGCAGTGACAGAAGAGCCAACGTAGATCATGTCAGAGCTTGCTTTCTTTAATTTAACTCTTCAGTTATTTTTAATAAACATGAGTATTAATTTGTAGTGGCAAGAAAAGCAGGAAGGCAAAATCCTCTTACATCTTCATTACTTCCATTTCTGCCACGTGTTTAATTTAAATCCCTGTGGTGGTGGCAAAGAGCAGGATGCTTCTGGGGAGGGTGTTGCGCAAACCCAAAGGGTTTGGTGTGTGATGAAAAATGAGACCAACAGGCTGTGGCAGGGAGTATTTTAAACAAGTGGAGTGACCTCCAGCTGGTCCTGTGCTCACCAGATGCATCAGTGGAACAAGGGGAATCAAAGGATGGATGGGGCAGGAGTGAGGACAGAACTGGTTTCAGGAGCTGGAAGTAACAGTAGAAACCAGGCCTGGGGTAGAGTTCCTCCCTAGCAGACAGTGAGAGCACAGTCCTACTGGCACCAACATCTTTTTGGAAATGCAGCAGTTTTGTTAGAAAAAACCCACAACTTCATCTCCAAAAAAGGAATTTCTGTTGAATTGTGAGAAAAGGAGAGAACATTCCCAACAGCCAATAGCACATTTTTTAAGGCTTTTGCATGGCAGACAGAAGTGCACATTAGTTTGGAGCCTGATCCAGCCCAAGGGTTTGTATTTAACCAGAGGATGTATTTCTACATTGGACCTTGCAGTTACTCAGGGATTTGTAGTGCATGCATGGCACAGATTAACTGCTCAGCAACTTCACTCCCTCAGCAGTTTTTGCAGCCTGCCCTGAGCAGCATTGTAGGACACCTAAATATAATTTAAAATTAACTGGTTTTCCGCCAGAGTTCCCTTCTTTACACTCCAGCCATGTCTCTGTGGGGTAAAGGTGATGCATGGACTTCTCTGATTTAATACCAATGCAAGTTTTTGTTCCTGGACTTGAGCTGACTCACATGGAGCTGGATTGTGTGTCTCTGTTCCACATGCACAAATGTTCTTCACACCAGGGATGGCAGTAGTCAGGAAGGGAGTCAGAAAATATGTTTTGGTTGATTCATGAAAAAAACCCCAAACCTTCAATGGTAGCAATAAGGATAATTGATGACTGACTCCTGTGTGGCAGAGGAGTGGGTGTTCAGCAGTCACATAAGTTTGGAGAGAGAGTTGAAGATTTTATTGACACTCCTGTGTTTTGCACTATTTTTTTCATCTTGGAAATGAATTTCAGACCCCAGTAGTGAGTATTAATGCTATATATCCTCTGTGGTTAGCATTAATGGTACACAGTCCTGCCAAATGCAGGGAAAGTTAAAACTGAAAAAAAAATAACCTACTGTGAAGAAGCTCAATGAGAGCAAATGGGGATGGAGGTTTATGCTTACAAAGAGCTCAGCTCTGTTGGCACTTCTCCTGGACCAGTGCTGTCAATCCAAATTGAACTATTTGCAGAGTGAAGTGTTGCTAATGAGCAACGCTGGCAGGACCAGGCTGGAGGTGGTGAAGGCACCTGAACAATCAGTCTAAAGCAGGAACCAAGAGCCTGGGCTGAGCCCCATGAATCAAACTGCTCTGCTCTACTCTTGTCTTAATCTGTCCTCATCCTCCTTCCTGCCAAGGTGAGGGATCCATCAGCCAGGGTGGTGCCAGCCCAGGAGCTGCTCAGCTCCTGCTTGGATGAATGTGGGATGCTTCGTGTGGCCAGGGGGCTCCAGCCCTGGTGTGCTCCCAAACAAAGTGCAGTCCCATCGTTTGTTTTGTCTCTCAGTAGAATTAAAATACAGCACTTGGCAGAATGTGTTCTGTAAACTGGTGACTTTTTTTTTTGCTTAACATGCAGTGAGTGAACTTGGCTGTGTGAGCTTCGTCTTCCTCTGAAAATGCTGTTATTTTTGCAAGTTAATTTTTTTCTGGAGTTGGTTTAATTCAAAAGAAGTTTTGTTTGCTTGCTTGCTTGCCTGAGGTTTTTTGGTAGGTTTAAACAGATGAGCTTCATTTCTTCTGCAGTTTATTTTGGTGAAGCTTCTGTAGCCTTTGGGGGTTATAGCACAGTGCAAATGGAGTTTGACTGTGAAACTTTGGGTTAGTTTTGCTGACCCCAAAAAGCAAAGTCTTTCAGTGACTTTCCAAGCCTTTGAGTTGACATGAATTCAGAATTTGTAAGGGAAGGGAAGGCCCAGTGTTTCTCCATAGAGCTTCACAAAGAGTTTTCCATCTTTTTTGGGGAACCCTTAATCAACCCACCAACCCTCATTGCCCATTATTTACATGCTATGCAAATAAAAACCAGGAATCTTTAGCTATTTTTAACTTTTCCATGCCCCAGCTCCCCTCAGGGCCGGGGTGTTGCTCTGGGGCTGTGGCAGACCGGGTGGGCAGCTGCTGGACTCAGCCCTCGGCAAAGCCGCCAAAATCCCGCGGTAAGCCCAGGCCAGCGCCAGCTTCTCCCCAAAGAGTGAGTGGCTCTGAGAGGTTTTGCCACATAAGGGCCTGTTTGAGGCTGTAGGCACCAGCTGACAGGGATGTCTTTGCCTCTGAACAGATGGCCAGGCTTTTTATTTCAGCGAGCAATCTCGTGTGGAGGGGTGGTCTCCAAATCCTGCCAGGGTTTCGCGAGACAGGGCCAGCTTAGGGCAAGAGGGATCTGATGTCTGTGCCCTTCATAGCTCCTGAGCTAAATGACGAGCTGTTGACAGGGCAGCCATCATCTGAAGTGTAAGATCCCCAACTCTCCCCACTTTTCGTTTTTCTTTGGCGGAATTAATGCCCTATTTGCTTGTCTCTCAAAATCCATTCTGGCACAAGTACAAACCCTCGCCTGGTGGCAAGCAGTTGTCTGGATCCGAGATGCCAAGATTTGTGCTGACAGCTCCTTCTACACAATCTGAGTCAGGCTGTCACAGCTGGCCATTAGCAGCTTAAAAAGACACACATGTACAGCAAATAGCACCACCTTTCCCTTATTGATTATCAGAACCTGCTTGATTGAGAAATGCAATGACTTGCATTGCTCTTTCCTTTAAACAAACACTGCCTCCAAACCCCTGTTGCAGTGCAGTGGATGTTTATTTTATGTGGATTGCTTGCTCTTATTTAGAAGCTCAGGTCTAGAAGAGACTTCCTGGGCCAGGAGATCTAGTCCTTGATAATCCCAAGCATCACATTTGATAATCCTCCTCATTACATTGCATTTTTTTAATGAAAACAGTCCCTTGTAGTTTCGATTTAGCGTTGCAGCTGTTTGCCTTGTATGATTTCATTGACATGGAGGAACAAGCAGCAAAACTTGCCTTGTTGAGGGGCAGCATCACAACTGGAGCAGGGCAAAGAATGCTGCTCATCAAAAAGGGATTTTCTGAAGCTGTTTACCCTGCAGTGTTGCCTTTCTTGGTGACAGTCTGTGCAAATTCTGCTGATCTAGCATTCAGTTTGGGTGCTAAAAGAGGGCTGCTTGCAAAAGTTAGCATTCAGATTTAAAGTAAAACAGGATCAAACTGTTCCCCACCCCACTCCTGTATGTGGGAGCAGGGCAGAGGAACTTCTGCTTAGTCACTGATAGTTATTGCACGTGTAATGCTGCCCTGTCTGGTCACACTGGGCTTTAAACTTGCTGTAGGATTAAACTTTGCATGGCTGAGCTTTGGTAGACCTTAGTCTATAGTTTATTTTGGACAAAAGGCTGATAAACTTTGGCTTTCAGGGAGGAAGCCTGGAATCTGAGACCCACTATTATTCATTGACTTGTCTTTATGAGTTTACAGTCCACTGATGCATAACACTGAAGGAAATATTTTCAGTGAAATGTTTGCTTTTTTCTTTGGCTTTGTAAAAGGCAATGTCTTTTCTTAGAGATATATGTCAGGGTCATATAGCTACTTCAGTGAACTGTGTATGGTCAGGAAATAGACTGCATCAAAAACATTTCATTTTTCCATTAAGTCATTCTTTTGACAAAGGCTTCCCCCTTCTCTCAGGGATTTGGGCTCCACTAACCACTCTTTGAGCATTAATTTTATGCACAAACTCGGTTTAATCCTGGGGGGAGATTTCAACTGTATGGAACATTTTCAGTATTTTTGTATTAAATCAAAACTTGTGGGTGACAGTGAACTTGTAAAACAAAACCCCATTTGTATCCAAGGGAATTTTCATGTCTAGCATTTTTCTGTCCCTTCTTTGATGTGCTGAAAAACGTGTGGCTGAAAAACTGTGTCTGTTCCTCATTGCTCTGGATGGCAGAGCCAGCCTGGTGTGACAGAGGGACTGACTCTGCAAACTTTAATGGCTCTGACACAACAGAGCTATGAAATTAGTGTTTAAATTTTCAGGATGTGCTCACATGTTTTGCTAGATCGGGCCTATACGAGCTCCACTCCCTCTTTGGATGGGCAGGAGGGTGATTTGTCTGAGTTGGGAATACTGATGTTGATAAGTCTTTGTTGGACCAAATGTGCAGATGTCGTATTTGTATTACTGTCATATTTATACATACTACATCCTATTCATAAGACATTAATGTTTGTTTCTCTTTCTCCACAGGTTCTTCTTGAAATTTTTCCTCAAATGTAACCAAAATTGCCTAAAAAATGCAGGAAACCCTCGAGACATGCGTCGATTCCAGGTCAGTCGGACACGCTTCCTCCTTTAAAAATCAGCAGCTGTTAGGACAGAAGTACTTTGACCCAAACTAACCTAGTAATTCACTGGAAGATGCTAAAAACATAAGGTCACAAAATAATGCCTGAGGACTTCTTGTCACAGCAGAACTGTCAGGAAGTAGTTGGGTTTTCTTGCTCTGGAAGAGAGCACTCTTGAAGATAATGTCATCTCTACCGGAAGGGAAAGCATGAAAAGGAAAAATCAAAATGACCTCGCTGTTGTTTTCAGCTATTGGGCTCCCCTGCTCTGAGATATTTCTCTCTCCATGGGGAACTATTTGTTTTCAAGGAGACACCAAGTGAGCACCTTGTTTATTGGCTGGGGCAGAGGAAGGTGTAAGAGCAATTAATAAAATCAGGCATGTGGCTACACATGTTACTCATGGCAGTGGTAAAGACTCATGAATGTGCATCAATGGGATGAAGGTCTGTCCCTGTAGTGAGCACTTGGAAAAAGCTACCACTGGGTGTCTCTTTCTTGGGATGCTTTGGGCTGCTATTTCCCCATTGTTGCATCTTGTGGCACTGGGGCTTGGGAGCATAAATATCAGCAAAGCTTTAGATGGCCAAGGACATCTTGTGTTATGCTCCACCTGTGTCACAACTCATTTTGGGATGAAAAGCATCACTGTCCCTTGGGAAGGTGGTCTGGACATGCACTTCCCCAGTGCTGGCAGCAGAGTGGAGTGGTGGCAATTCTGAGGAATAATTGTTCCAACACTTCTATTGAAGACATGCTCTATGACTGTGGCAGTAATACTTTACCTGGGTATGTGCTGAGTAAAAGTATGGGATAGAAAGTCAAAGGGCCTTCTCTTTTGGTGGGAGGAGTGAATACAGCCCACAGAAGAAACATGGTACAATCTGTCTGTGGGGCTTTGCCTCAGGGTTCTGAGAAAGAAACAAGAGATTTGTCCCATAGACCACATGGATCTCTGGAGAAAGACTACTCCAAAATATATCTGCTTTCTGTAGTTACTCAGTTTGCTTCTTTTCCAGCATTGTTGCACTTCAATACAAGTGTTGAATGTTATGTAAGTGGCAATGTTATTTATATGTAGAATGTCTTTTGTTGAACTGCTTAATTGCAGCAATGCTGGAAGGCAGAACGGTGCTATTTGCCTCTGAGCAGGGAAGTGCAGAAGTGAGGAGATGTGGCCACAGGGATTAAATTAAGCAGTGTAAAAGCCAGCATTAGCATGGCAGAGCCCTCAGCTTCTCACCCCACACTCCTCCCTCTGTCAAGATTCTCCTGTGATTCCAGAGGGCATTATCACGGAAAGAGAATGTGGGAAAAGGACTCTCACCAGCACGGGGATTTAGTCCAAGCAGTCACCCCTGGGGCCTGTCAGAGCTTGCTTCACAACATGTACACTCTGCTGGGGCCGTGCTCGCCCAGGCTCCAGGCTGATTTTCATATGGAAATGCCTGTGCATGTTCCCTCAGAACAGCAATCAGGAGCTGTGTCGGTGGGGAGGTAGGACATAGGAAAGGTTGTTGATCTCTTGACTTGTAAAGACATTCTGTCATACAAACCCAGCTTCTCAGCAGTTGAGCTTTCCGTGTGTAAACAGAGACTGCTTAATTACACAGGTCATGTCAATTAGCGTGACCTCAGCATTTTCAAGAAATTAATCACTTTCAGCCGAGTGAACCACCCCTACTCTCATACAGGGTGGCATTGAAGCTCGCAGCGTTCTCTTCAGTGCCCAGGCTTATTGTTTTACAATAGCTGCTTTTGTTTCTTCCTTTTTCTTTTCTTTTTTTTTTTTTTTTTTTAATTTTGAACTTGTTGGTCTTTTAGCAATAGACTTCTTAAAATAAAACAGCTGGGCTCTACAGAGTCCAAGCTTCATTTATCATTTCTTAGGGTGAAAAGGACTGAGTGTACATGTAGTATCTCAATGCTGTGGTGCTCCTGGGTCTTAGAGGCAGTGTTGTGTAGGAACCAAATGAAATCTGTGCCCCTGTGTCTGCTATCAGCTGCCTTTGAATTGTTGTCAGTGACTTACAAGATCTCCAATGGTGATGTCCAAGTTCTGGTTAAAAACCATAAGGATAAGGTATTTCCAGATACTTTTAGATGGTACCATACTCATTTTCTACACACAAAAATGGAGACATTCCCTTCCTTCACTCCCCTACTTGTGCTGGACTTTGAAACTGCCAAGAGATATTTCCAACTTTTGGTCTGTCATTCGTCAATCCCCAAAAGTTGCTGCAAGTTCTTAGAACACAGATTATGGTTTTGATGGAAGAATCAGTAGAGGGCCAAGGATGTGAGTCCTGCACTAAGGACAAGTCCTGTGGAAAATTTCCTTTCTTAGTAGGTTTTAGAGTTGGTTTGGTTTGTTTTCCCCTGTAGCATGGAATTGTCTGATTATCATCTGATACAAAACTTGTTAAGAAAGTAGAGGGAGGAGGCAGAGTGTGTGTTGATTCAGGCTCACAATCAGAAATGAATTAAGAGGTTTTATCCTGAACTTTGCTTGCAAATGTAGGAATGTGATAAGTCTGATATAAAAGCTGTTGTGGGCCTGGAAGGAAATAAATTTCTCTGCATGTCTGAGATGTCCAGGCATGTGACAAGTGGAGTGGTGTGGAGTGCCAGCAGAGCGTGTGTGCTGGAGCGGTGCTGGCCCTGGCTGTGTTTGTTGTGTCTCTATTAGCACAAGGAGACTGTCAGGGAGGAGAAGTCAAGTACTGCACAGTACTTCAGCTGTGCTTCACACTCCTGCTTGTCCTTGAGAAAATAATTTCATCTCCATGTTTCATCAGCTCAATTGCCCAAAACATTTGGTGCTGTTGCGTATTATCACCTTTGCCCAGCCTTGCCACTTTTATTCTAGAAACCCTCTGGAGCAGATGCTCAGTCTGGTTGTGAATTTTTCATCACAATAAGTCATCATTCTTGGTGGGATGGGCTGTAGTGCCCCAGTTAGTGGTAATAATAATACTGCTACTAAGTAGATGGTGTCGTGAGTGAACTCTGCCTAGGTTTGGTTTTTCAGAACTAAAAACTCATTCATACAACCTAAACAGTTTTGTATGTTATTGTAATTAATGAAACCCAGGTGCCCTAGCTGTCTTGTTGTTCTTGTTTTAGCACAACTGCTTGTAAACTGACACATGTCAAGTTTTAATTTAGAGGAAACTTTTCAGGCTGTGTCACTGAATAAAATCCCAAACATTCACTTATTATGAAAACCTTGGAAGTCACTTAGAGATTGCCATGCTGTTTGATTCTGTTACCACAGCCTCTCCTGAAGCAGAGGCTGCTCGTTTGCCTCCATGGGATGCTGCCACTCATGTTTGAATTGAAACCACTTGTGTCTTATTGCAAATTTGCATAAGAGACAGAGATGATGCTTCATGAATCCCAGATAATGGAATTTGGACATGCAAGGCTCCATCCCCAGAGAAAGGAAAGGAAAAGAAAAAAAAAAAAAAAAAAAAAAGAGAGAGAGAGAGACTGAAAAATAGCAGTGAGAGCTGTGGCCCAATCCAACAAGGTAATTAAGTGCCTGGCCTGTCCTTGAGCACGTGAGCAAAATTACTGGATGTATTGTACTTATGTGCTCTTAGTTAGGCACCTTTTGAAGTGTCTTGTTAAATGGAGAGTGATTTTTCGTTACTAGACTAAAGAAGTCAACACATTGTAGGAAGAGGTCACCAAGTGGTGATGAAAATAAAGATGTGCTCGAGCCATTTATAGCTTTGAGAAGAGTGGCAAGCACTGGAGTTACATATTTAACACTTAGGACACACTTCAAACCTGGAAATCATCCTAGCTAGATTTTCTCTGGCTTTGCCACTGGGTATTGGGGATGTTGCAAAAATATCAGATCCCTCACCATACACTGGAGAAAATTGAAAGCACAAGGAAAATGCTATGTCTTAATCAGTGAGCAAAGCTTAATGGGCTGTGGTTAAAAATCAGGAGTTGTGCAATGCTTAATTTTGATATATTAGGTGAGGTACTATACCAAATAAACAGGCCGAGTGCTAAACGTGGATAAATAGCTTGATCTCCAGGCTCCTGGTCTCTGAATATTAAAAGAAAAAAAAATCTAAGCTCCAAAGTATTCACAAACTGAAGTATTTAATGGCAGGCAGAATAATCCACAGAGCTGGGATATGTTACTGCATTCAATAGTGCCAATTTCATTGAAGAAAGTTGTAAACCCATGTGTTTCTTTCATACCTCTGTCTCCCCTGGTGTTGATACAGGATTTAAATTCAAAATCTGTGAAGGGCTAAAGCTAAAGCTCAAAATCATTTTCCGTGTTTGCCTGTCTCAAATTAAAACTGTGTTTTGTTGACAAAATTTGGAAAGGTTTGAGATTTGGCAGACCTGGTTGTCCCTGTGCTTACATTAATGTGTCAGCACCTCATTAATCATTTATTAAACTGTAGTGTGCCTTTCCCTCTTGCCTACAGTCTGTGTTTTAGGATGCCTTGGTGCCCATTCCACATATACTCTGGCTGTCCCCTCCCCCTAATTTTATGATTTCTCCACAAATTAGTTTTAGCATGTGCTTTAACTTGAACATATCCCAGTCCTTTCAAAATCAAAATTAGGAGAGTGTAGTATTTTTTTAGATTAAAAAATATGAGTAGAACTTGTAAGTATGTAAGTGCTCTGCAGCAATCCAAGTAGGTAACTGTGGCACACAATATTCGAGGTGCATTTTTTCTCTATTAATAATTACAGGCATTAATATTTCCCTGGTGCAGTGCGCATTCAGTGTTCCTCTATTAATGAGAATTTTCATTTAAAGAATTGAGCAGCAAGAGCCTGTTGCTTCTTACAGGTGTGTTATGAATAATCTTTTTTTTTTTCTAAACAGACACATAAGAGGGTTTTTTTTTTGCATTTCCTGAGACTGGAAACAGTTTCACTCGGGGATTCCATTTATAGTTTCTGCTGCTAACGACACCAAAGAACCACACCAATGTGGTCTCTTCATAGTAAATCAAACTGTTCAGGAGGGAGGTAGGAAGATATTGCTAAGTAATTCAAAATCTGTTGCATCAACAGTTTTGAATATCTGAGGAAGGGGAAATTAAATGTACCTTTACTCACATAAAAGCTCAACAGGATTGTTTCCTCAAGTTCTTACCTAGAAAGTTGCATGTATAGCAACAGCTACTTAGAAACAGGATTTTCACATCTTTGAGATCTACTTTACTGTCACTAGTCTCGACTCATTATTCTTCTGGAATCCCATTTCTAAAAATGTTAAGTTTTGATTTCAGCCCAGGATTGATCAGCTTCAGTGTGAAGTCTGTGTGTACCTATAGGGCTTTAGAACTGGGGAAAATATTTTATTTTGTAGCCATTGTTATTAATTGTAATTTTGTTAATTTTCATATTAATCAGACCCCTAGAAGAAGATAAGGAGCTGGCATAAATCATGGAGCTGTGACAGGCAATGCCAAGGATTTGGCTCAAAATCCCACTTGCAAAGAATTTACAATGGTTGGAAGTGCACAAATAAGATTGCAAACCCCGAGCCACTTACTATAAGATCATATTTTATTGAAAATATCATAAACTTTATTCTACCCCTCAGGAATTCAATGGATAAATTACTTTTGAAATCCCTTTTGGAATTTTATATATAGGGCTTAGGTTTTTTTCTCTCCTTAGTTTGATTTCAGAAAAACTTATCTGTAGTATTTGGTGCTTTCTTTTTCCCAAATTTCCATCTGTAGGAGCTCTTGAATCATTTATTCTGTATTTTAATATCTTTCACTTAAAACATGCACAAAAGTCTATTGCTTGGAACGCCATTCTGAGGGATGGGTTAGGGTCTTTTAGATGTAAAATATTCTCTTTTGTATTCCTCTCTTTCCAGAGAAAGACTTCAGGATTTTCTCTGGGCTGTATAGTGGCTTTGCTTACTTTTTGAGTATTTTAATTGGGGGCCAGAAATAGGTAGAAAATTTTTCCTTTTCCTCTATTTTTTTTTTAGCTCCAATTCAAGTGATGAAATTGAATAGTTGTAAGCGATCCTTTAAGTGTCCCCATTTGACCAACTTTGAGAGGCAGCAGCTTCCTGAGAGAGTTGAAGCAATGTTTGCCAATCCTTGTAAAGCATTTCACCTCTTCAGAGGCTAAAGCCTCTCAAAACCAAGAACAATTAAAGCGAGAGCCTTTCAGAGCGACTGGGGAATTCAGCAAAATAAATCAGAAATCCTCTGCCGTGGCTCTGGAGGCTTGCCTCATTATAAGAGCAGATCTATTAGCCCCCTTGCCATTGTCTTTCATTTCTCAAGTGAGGTGATTCTAATTAAATTAATCTGCATGTCAATCTATCGGTGATCAATCAAAAGGGCTGAGGTCCCCCTTTGCGGCACTGTGCTTGCGGCTGACAGGGGCTGATAATGGAGGAAGAAATAAACTGTCGAGCAAAGTTAATTAGTCAACATAATAGGTGGATTAAACAGGAGCTGCTGATTGCTGTTTCACATGTCGAAGCATGAGGTGGGAGCTGAAACTGCAATTAACAGACAATTATTATATTTGGTTGTAAGAGGTCGCATGAATAAACATATCTCAGTGGGTTTCAGTCTTTAATCCCTTTCCCTGTTTAATGTAAGGAGAAGTGTAGGTCATTTCTTCTTATTGTTTTAGTCAAAGTTCTCGAAGGCGACGCGTGCTCCTGGCAAACCAGCAGCCAGCTGAAGGCCAAATCTTTGGCTGGGGTAAAACCCTGGGAATGCCATACTTTTGCTGGAAAAAGGCTGTGGGAGGGGTGGCTGAAGGAAAGCCAGGGAGGCTGAAACTGCTCAGTGTGAATGAGGTAGGAGGAGACGTGTTGTGATGAGCTCACAGCTCTGCAAGGGACTTGTGTCTCCATGACATTTCATGGCTCACGTGCCCTCTGCCTGGACAGGGGTTTCCTTTTGGAGCCTCAGGGTTGAGCAGTCCCTCTGGACACCTTGGAGCAGCTGGGTCTTCTACTCTGGACCCATCATTTACCTGTTTGCTCCTGCAGGGTTGGCTCCTCTCCTGCCCTGGGCAGCTCTGGGGAGCAGAAGTGTGTGATCCTTCCTCCAGTGCAGTCCTGCTGTGTCTCCCTCACCTCGCCTCAAATCAAATCCCAGGTGTTGACATTGAGATAAGTTGAGAAATACAAATAATTCTAACACTGGATGAATAGGGTTGTGTTCTCCAGATCAAGACCCCACTGTCAAGCGTGTGTGTGTGTACACAAACATGCCTATACATACTCCTTAAGATAGAACTCGGGAGAAATTTGGGGAAGTCCAACAACCTGCAGTGACTGTGCTGGGGGAAGAGCAGCAGAGAAGGGAGGGGGCGAGACAGGCAACAACTCTTGTTACAACTTTACAAAATACACTTTTGTTTTCTTTTATTCTGAATCGATTCTCATTTGCAATGTCAACATCTCTATCTACTTCAGCGTGGAAACTGAAGGATAATTTAGGGTGAAACACAGCTGCCCTTGTATATAGGGGAAAAAATACTTAATAAAGATCCTCTTGTTAAAATGATGGTTAACAGTGTGCTGTCTGCCACGCAGCTACAAACTCTGCAATTTGACTTAAAACTGCATCAAAAGCTTTCGATGCCAAAGACCCACTCATCAATAGCGCCTCTTGTTAGATTTGTACAGCATAAGCACCAGTTATTATGTGAAATAGCTTTGCAATTTTCTACAGCTCCCAGCTGTTATTTATTTAACTGAGTTTATTACACTCCGCGCTTTTTGAAAAACACACGGATTTATCCAAATTTCCCTCCGTGTTGCTCTTGTGCTTGCAGGTCGTGGTGTCTACAACAGTCAATGTTGATGGCCATGTGCTGGCAGTGTCAGACAATATGTTTGTGCACAACAATTCCAAGCACGGGCGGAGAGCTCGAAGACTCGATCCCTCGGAAGGTACGCCTTCTTATCTGGAACATGGTAGGCAAATCATTTTCATTGGTTGGCATTGCTGTTTTAAATGTGGATTTATTTGGTTTGTGTCTCAGGCTGCTGGTTTCAAAATTGTCCTGTAAGCGTTTATTATCTCTGAGGCCAGGCATTTGAAAGGGACTGGCCTCCAGACCAAAGGAGGAATTTTTCAAGTAGGTCAGCTCTAAATGTAGTGAAATGACAAACAAGTAAGCAAACATGGGTGCAGAGGTTGTCCTGTGTGTCAATGAAGTGGGGTGATTTTTTTTTCATGGTGCTTGCAATTATTCAGCACCCAAAATTGGAGTCTGATTTTTTTCCAGACTGCCCTGATTTTTGACTGTGCATCTAAAGGATGTTGCATATTTTCTGAAGTGCTCAGCACCCAAATTTTGGATTGCATTTCTTCTATCTATAGGATGCTGAACTCTCTTGGAGATTCTTCTGTTCCTTTGAATTGCCCTAAATGAAAGCAGAGCCCTTTTGGAAATCCATCTGCTTACTTAAGCCATGGATGAATGTTCTTTTCTGGCTTCAGCTGTGCCAGCTGAGGACGTTTCTTTTCCCACAGCTGTTTGTCTCCCCTCCCTGCTCCAGGCTATTCTTCACCATGGACATACCAGCTAGGATGGTTGTGTGCTTGCTCCCTGGTCTCCTCCAGGCCAATGAAGTTCATTTGAATTAAACCATTTAAATAATCACTCTTTGCCAATCTGGCTTGTTGCTGAAATGATTGAAGGAGAAATGGTGCAAGGCAGTTTGGCTTTTCTGGAAGCACAGTAAACTCCAGCAAGGGTGGGATGGGGGCACGTGGCTGGAAGCAGCCTGGGGACAGTAATCTCTTCTGTAAGGTCAGCTGGTCCTGGAAGGGAACATCTGCTGGTGACTGTAGGTGCTTAAAATGGGAGTTGTTGAGTGCAAATGTACTTTGAAAAATCTGGATTTGATTAATGTTTTGTTTTGCTCTTTGTCCTCAAAGTTGATGACTACTGCTGAAAAACAAAACAAAAACAGAGGGCATTTCACTCCCCTCTCCCTGTTCCAGCTTGGTAGAATAGCTCTTTGTCTTCAAAGCTGTTTGTAATCCTAAATTCAATAGGTGCTTGCTCCCTCTAAGAGATGTGTACCCTCAGCTCCCATTGAAGTAGCTGAGTGTAGAAGGCACCAGTCCTTTATGCTGGTTTGTTTCACAAATATTTGCCAAGGATCCGATGAATAATTAAATAGATTTTTCCAAAGAGTTTGAAGAAACCAGATAAAATTTTCTCTGGGAAAGCAAATGCCACTCAGAGAAATGTTAACTAGATATGTTAAAAGAAATTATTAATGCTGAGAAATGGGAAAATGTGTGGGTTTCTACTGCTCAGTGGATTCCTGTGGAAATACTTTTCTATTCTGTTTATGCTTTCAGGCATCAGTCCTGCAAGCACTTATGCATATATTTAAGATTATGCTCACATATGGTCCTGTTGGGATCAATGAGGCTTCTTGTGTCAGAGAAGCTGAGGGTATTGATAAGTGTTTGCAGAATCGGGTCTGTAGTTCACACTTACTAACCTAAAATTCTTAGCTCAGCAGCGTTTCTCATTATATAAACATAACTTACATCTGTATTTATTTAGCTCTAACTTTTTATGTAGGCTACGAGCCATTTTCAGCCATAATTCATGTTATAGAATTTTTTTTTCATCCTGCCAACAACCTAATTTAATAAACAAACCACTGTCATAATTTTTACTGAAATTTATAAGGAATGTATGAACTCTGTCTTTATTAATTAGCAGAAGGCATTACAAAGGGAAACTTCTTTCTGTTCAACTTTGTAATCTTTCCATTAAGGCTAGTCTTAAAAAAACACTCCTATTTTTTTTTCTTATATTCCTACTAAAGTAGCTGCCATATTTTTTTTTCTTTTTTTCCCATTGCAGTCTTCTCAGTGCAGGCTTTTGGGTGAGGCAGTACTTAATTTCTCTTACATAAATGCCCTTATTCTCATGCACGGTGGTATCTCATTTTACCACAGCTGTCGTTCCCACTCCTACAACCTGAGGGATTCTGTTGGCAAAAAGCAACAAAAAAAGATAATTCTCTGCTTACGTAGCTGCACACACCTGAGTTACTGTGCTGATATTAAAAATCAACATCTGCAAAATATCTCCATGTGTACATTTTGTGGGAAAGGTGATTTTTCTAATCTGCTTTCTCAGGCACCTCTCAAGCAAGCTCATAAAGCAACTGCTAGTAAATTCTTACTTTTGAATAGCAACTTTCACTCTACAAAATTGCTCTCTTCCCAAAGGCTTGGTGGAGCCTTTCTTTTTTTTAACCTAAATCCTTCAGTCCAGCTCTCCAGGAATTCTCTGAACATGTGAGTCCAAGAAACAGGAAAAGAAATTTAAAAATCCAGTAACTGTTGTTATGATGATATTTGGTATCTAAAACAATTAAATAAATAAAAAGAAAGAAAAAGGCTTAATTCTATTGAATTTTGGACAAGACTCATTGGAACAGATGACAGTTTCCTCCACTAAAATAATTTTTTGCTTTCACTTTGAGTCACAAAATATATTATTTTTCTCCAGTTTTTGGAATTTTGATTTTGGATAGTATCAGAGGCAGTTTGTTTGCCTCTCTTCTCCCCAGCTTTTCTGCCTCCCTCAGGGAAGGACAGATTGACCTGAGCTGTATCCATGAGCAGGGAGATGGGAAGGGAACGTAGTCATGGCTTGTCTCTGGTTCATTGCTCTGGTGAGCAACTGCTCATCACAGGTTTGTAAAATCTGGGATCTGGCTATAACATACCCTTGACCAAATGTATTCCTGTGCACTTTTCCAGACGTTTAACTTCTTAACATAAATACCTGATGGCAATAGAGATGAATGCCTGACTGTGAGGGCTGGGGAAAGGGGAGACAGGATGTAGAAAGCTGTGCTGGTTGTTGAGTTTAACTAGACAATATCCAGCTTATTTTTCCTTTCAATCTTGTGTTTGCTGCTCTGAAACATGGAGTTACAGTTTATGTGACACCTAAAAGACACTTTTGGGGGCCAAAAAGCTGGAAAGAAAGTTGCACCTTCCGAGCCACTCAGGAGCCTGGTGTCTCCACATTTGGGTTTCACCATCTCATTAGCAGGTAGTCTGGAATATTTTTGGGACATCCAACACATCTTTATTTATATCTTGCTTTTCAGACTTTTCACTCAGTAAAGTGAAGGGGTTTTTTTGTAGCTCTTTCTCTGAATATAACCAGGACCCCAGATCCTGGTTTTGTGTCCACACGCTGCCCCCTTGAAGCCAGTGGGTTAAGCAGCTAATCTTTCAAATAAATATATCTATCTTTTAAAAGTAATAGCTGGCAGAGGGCAATTATTATTTCATCCATCTCTGTGTGGTATAAATAGGGTAAGCCACAGTAATCTGTGGTTTTCAATAATTATCACTTTTTCATTCACAAATAGTTGGATCCTCACTGGTTTTATATTTATGGTAAACCAGAAAGCCGGTGTGGTTGACCTTTCCAAATTATATATATAGTAAGATGTATAGTCAAGAGCCAACAGGCCCCAACAGTAGGATATATTTCAGTTTGTAGTTCATCCCGGGGTGTCAATTTTAAAAGCAAAATCTTCCCAATGAAATTTAAGTGATGAACTTATGGAAGGGGAAAGTTCTGGCAGGGCTTGCAACAACTCTTTTCAAGTTTACCAGCAATAAATCCACTGCAAAGTTTCCAGTTAAAACTCTCGTATCACTGCAAAGTAAAAATTCTTTTTTCTCCCCAAATCCTTTGAATGTCTTTACAAGACTGTAAAGCCAATTGCAGCATCAGTTTCTCTATTATTTTTCCTCGCTGGCAGAATGCAATGCCCTCGAAAAATGATAGTCCCTGAGACCCTGTCAGTTTGCATGCTCTAACACTTTATTATCTAATGATCTAATATGCAACAAGGCAAAGAGGGGGTGCTTATCACCCTGACAGGATGCCTAAGAGAAGTGACTAAATTACTTTATGTACCATTAGCACTAGCTGCCAGGGTGAACTCACTGTGAGCATTTATGCAAATATTCCTGAATACATTCAAGTGGCCTTGTCAGGAAGACGACTGACAAGCAGCTTAAATGCTTGGGGTTTTAAAGGGACAGTTTTATTTCTTTTTTCTTTTCCTTCCTCCTTCATGGGAGAGCACTGAAGAATTAGGTGATGGTGAGGTTTGCTGACTGTTTGGTTCTGAGTCAGCTCAAGAGCAGCAGCAGATGAAAGGTGCAGGGTAGAAATAGACACAAAAGATTAGATGTGATATCAGAGTGTGCAGGTGGAAGTGGAGATAACCACGATTTCCAAAGCAACATCCTGCTGTTATTTTAATATGAAATATGCATAAATCTCTGTGTGTTTATATCTAAAATAAGTCATTATGTAGCAAAACCATTACTGCTGGTTGCCTTAAACTGGGAAGGATAGTGCAAGGCTGAGTTATTTGATCACTCTATTGTGGTACCTGAGACAGCCAAGCTTTTACAATGTTGTTTTAGCTCATGACAGCATTGAGTGACTCCAACCATTTGTCTGCAGGTGCAAAACCTCCTACAAGAAATAAAAAGCAGTAGTGGCTGTGCCTCAGCTGCACATGACAGTAGATCCTCTTGTCAGCAGTGGGGCATTAAAAGAGTTTTTCTTGCCAATCCTGCCCATCCTGGGCCATTTAAGAGATCACAGTTACTGCACAGACATTTTCCTCAGATTTGAAAGCAAATTTGAAAGCACTGTTACTGCACAGAGAGTCCTCAGATTTGAAAACAAAAATGATTTCTAGGCTGTGCCTTAGTGAATTAGGTGTTTTCTGTTTCGATTATTTAAAAAAGGAAAAATTTCCCTCACCTTATAAATGATTTTGAGAGGATAATATTTAAAATAAAGCTTTGAGACTGACTGCCCTTAGGTCTCATTTCTAGTCTGCCTGTAACAGAATTGTTGAGGACAGACATTGAATACCATTAATTCAGTTGC